AACTCGGCTTTGAAGGGTTTTTAGAAAAACTTCCAAAGAAGAAAATATGTCAAATATGAATATTGATTTGCATATCAAAAGTAAAGTTGCAAAAAAAAATACTTCGACCAATCCACATAATTATAAGTTCACTTTATGCTTTATTTGTTTCGCATGCTTTAACTCTTTTCCTCTTTCTTAACTTTATAACACTGTTTGCTGGTATACTTAGCTTTTTTTTTTGGAAAATGCCGAGAGGAGTCGCTTTCGGATATCGAAAAGGCCAAGTTGAAGCAAGATTGAGTCAAGCATTCTCACATCTTCGAATTGCGAGGGATTTGGGTCGAAGCCTTTGTGTTATTAACAATTTTGTTAAGGACCAATCCGGATATGTAACTACAAACACTTTGGCCGACTGCCGTTGTTTTCGGATCGAGAAAAATGAATGATTCGCCGTGAAGCATCAAATAAAGTTACGACTTGTAGCAAGATTAAAACCGATCTGAAGCTAAATTTCTTTACCGAAACGATTCGAGGGGTGATTTCAAAGAACAAATTCATCAAATAAAGAAAAATGATGAAGGCACCGCGTCTGGAGCTTCATCATCGCAAATCCCGGCTCGACTTCGCACGAAACAACAGCAGAGCCGATTGGAAAACTGTAAGGTGTTTACAAGTTTAGCTTTAACGATGTCCGTGTGCTGAAAGACGGACTCGCAGAATCAATTGAGAAAAGAATCAATTGAGATTGGTGCAGTCATTTTAAAAAACGTTGAAAATTCGAAGTAATCAAGCAGAATGTTCTTGTTCTTCTCTCTTATCACACAGCAAATTTCTTTCGACACAAATCTTATTTCTTCCTCTCATTCCAACTTTATCAGAAGACAATGAAAACTTTATTGCTGCAAAGCTTTCGAAAATTAATGTTGAGTGGCGACTTTCAGGAGCTACTCGTCAGCGAAGAAATGGTAAATTCCTTTTGACACAAATCTCATTTCGCATTTTATTTGTCGTTTGAAGTGTATTTCGAATTTGGCTAAAGTTTGGGAGGCTCCATATGAATTTCATGTTGAGTCTTCAAGCCCAGAGCCGTTCAATTGGGTGGTAAGTGGAGAGAAGAGGCAGACACAGAGCAGTTCGATCATCCGTTATCTGTAAACCATGTTACAATATAATAAGGCTTCATTGTCATTGTCATTTCATTATTTCAACATCTTTTCAGACATCCAGCGACAAATCGTGTGACCGTAGATGGTGAAGGATGGACTGTGCCCGAAATGGGTTTTGCTCGGATACGTTTGCAAGATGGCATCGGAGAGTCGAAAAGACAAATGAAAAAAATTGAGTGGCCTCTGTACACAAAACCTCTATTATTTTCTACAAGTGTTAGGTTGATGCAAAAGTCCTTTCGTTCACTTTTCGTCTGCCGTTTCAAGCCAACAAATGCACCAATTAAACTACGGTTGATTTCATTAGAAAAACCAATTATTTTTCTGCAAAATAACATTAAAACGGGTTTAAAAATATTTTATGCCTGGATTTCCTTGAGAGTATGAAGTCGGGTAGTCAAAAAGGGCTAACTCGATGATGCGGTTTAGACACCTTAGCTAAAGAAAACCTATCTTCGTGTCAATAGATAAAAGATAGAGAAAAAAAGTTTGATATTTCCTCAAAATTTCAGAGAAATTCATTCAGCCAACTTTTCCGTAGAGTTTTTTATAGATTTTTACGAAAAAGGCGTTTTTCACTCTCGAATTGCTTGAAAGTGAACCGAAATTGATTTAAAAAGATGCAAATTGAACAAAAAAACACTTTTTTATAGGGCAAACTATAGATTAATTGGTGAATTTGTTACTTTTTAACAGAAGTACAAAAAAAATTGAGTAACCTCTGTACACCCAACCCCTATCATTTTCTACGAGTAATTTGAATCAAAACTGAGCTTTATATACAACATTTCGTGTAAGATTGAATCAAAAAGCACTTTATTCGATAAAGAAAACTTTGAGAGAAGAGAAAGGAAACGAGAGACATTTGAATTGAAGAGAATAAAGGAAAAATAGTGTTTGGCAAGAAATCCAATCCGAATCTCCAAGAAAACAACGGTTTTGAAGCTGAATACTATCTAAGTTTAAAAAATGTTATAATAATAACGGAACATGTATGGATTTGGATATGCTAACGATTGAAATACCCACGGACAGAGCGTAAGAAAGGTCGCAAGATTCGCAACGGATCATCCCGGCCAATTCTGCTTTTTGCATCTCTATCGGAGCTGCCTTCCCTTTGCTTTGAACGACAGCCTCATACAACAACGAGGCAAAGAAATGGCAATTGCTTTGTAAGATGATAGGTCTTGTCGAGCTCGTCGTTATTGAAAATCCATTGAATAATATTGTAAATCGTTTCATTGAATCCCACCTTGTCCTCTGAGCGTCCCTCTGGTTTAATCGTCTTAGTGCTTCGAGGATTCCCATTCAACTTCTCTTTCACATCGACTTCTTTCGACGAGCGCTGCACATAGATACCAGCCTGGTGCTTTTCGAAAGACCAGTACCAATTTGTCGACTTGATCACAACGTACTCGTGCCAGTCTCCACAAAGACCCCAAGTTACCCAAGTCCCGAGAGGATGTTTCCAAATTTTTGCTCTCAGTATTTTCTCATCATTCGTCCCCGCTAACTCGAAAATATTCAACAATTCATCTTTCTTGTACTCGTTTTGAATGGAGTCAGGATTGTAGATGATGTAGAACAAAGTGCTCTTCCAATCTCCACCTTTACTGCCACTGAAATTAAAATGATTGGTTCTCACAATCGTTTATGGCAATGAACTCTATGTTTATTGTCTGCTTTTTAGCGAACCAAATAAAACATTGCTCATTCTCATTTGCTCAAAGAGTTCTCAACATGTAACTTAATAAAATTACAAGCCACAAAATTACAAGCCTATTTTTTTCTTGGGATGGCCCATAGAACATTATTTTGTCAATAAGAAGCATTTTAACCGTTATGCTCACAAAGACTTACAAGCCCATTTCGAGAAAAGAAACAACCGAATGTTTTGACCCTTACGGCGACCCCTAAAATAGATGATTATCATTGTTATTTGGGTCAAAAAGAGATCATTTCGAAGTGAAGGGTGCTTTGGAAGAGTTGAAAATGAGAAGCAAAATATAGAAAGAGATCAAAAAGGCTGACTCTGCTGAATGCTAAAAAACCAAAAATAAAAACTCTATTGGAAATCTGAATGTTCTGGCGAAGTTCTTCTTTCTTATCACACAGCAAATTTCTTTCGACACAAATCTCATTCGGCACATCACATGTCTTTTCTCGTTTCATTTGGTAAAAAAAGTGAAGGCTTTAAAGTTAAATTGTCGGATGAGTCAACACCGACAAATTGGTTGCAATGAACTCTACAATTGCTTTGTGTAACATCATAGGTGTTGCCGAGCTCGTCATTATTGAAAATCCATTAAATAATATTGTAAATCGTTTCGTTGTCTCTCAAGTTCTCCTTTGAGCGCCCCTCTGGTTTAATCGTCCTAGTGGTTTGAGGATTTCCTTGGACTTCTCTTTCACATCGACTTCTTTTGACGAGCGCTGCACATAGATACCATCCCTTTGCTTTTCGAAAGACCAGTACCAATTTGTCGACTCGATCACAACGTACTCGTGCCAGTCTCCAATAAAACCCAAAAAAACCCAAAGGATATATTTCCAAATTTTGCTGTCAGTATTTTCTCATCATTCGTTCCCTCTAACTTGAAAATATTCAACAATTGCTCTTTCTTGTACTCATTTTTAATAGGTCCAGGATTGTAGCTGATGTAGAACAAAGTGCTCTTCTACTTTCCACCGGTACTGTCACTGAAATTAAAATGATTGGTTGTCACAATCGTTTATGGCAATGCGAACTCAATGTTTACTGTCTGCTTTTTAGCGAACCAAATAAAACATTGCTCATTCTCATTTGCTCAAAGCATTTGCAAATTTGCATTAAAAAAAATGGAAAAACTTTTAAGCAAATTTTTTTTAGCCATTTTGTGTTACGCTTGGCCGGGACCGGTCACGCTTCACTTAATAGTTGCAATGAACCCTACGTATTTGATTCTATATAACAAAAACTCGATATAACGTAAACTATAACCGGTCTCGTGAGTCACGCTGTAAAGAGGTTCGACTTTAAGCGAAGCCAAATGCGAATAAAACAGAAAAGTGTATTACAATTAAACAAGACAGAAAGCCGGCAAAGATAACCTTTTGAATGCAATTGTCGGATGAGTCAACTCCGACAAAACGCTTAATTGAAAAGATGAAGCGGAAAAGGCGAGCAACAGCAGATTCACGTACAGGTCGACCTGGAAAATAATCTGTATTTAGATTTTTTTTTAATATTTATCGTTATCTTAACTGAAGGTTCTTAGTTTCAATGACAACTAAAGGAAATGGATTGTAAATGACAGATATATTTTTGGAAATTTAAGGTGGTGTCCTCACAATTTGATACCACTATGCCTGCAGCAGAATGCCTTGAGATTTTTCTAGCCGAGATCCAAAGATTTATTCAATAAATAGTGATATTTGAGCAGGTATTTGACAAAGTTTCTTCAGAAATTTGTTCTGATTTTAGTTTGATCGAGCCTTATGAAGAAAATACGAACTCGGGAATCTAGAGGGACTCTAACTAATGAAGAAAAATGCAATTAAACTTTAGTCATTGTGCGCATATTGAATTGTTTGTACTTGATCAGCAGCTCATCGATGTTTTTGAGCTCAGTGCAACTCTTTTTTAGCATCTTATTTGTGCATTTCATGAGTTCCGCGAACTTTGTTAATTCACTGACGTGTGGCTCCACAAAGTCGCCACTTCAACAAACTTTCGAAAGTTTTTGCAGCAAAAAAGTTTTAATTGTCTTCTGATAAAGGAAATCGATTTTAAAGGTTTTACTATGTCTTAAAAGCAGCTGAGAAAAATAGATTTACTGATAAGCTCTCCATTCTCGTATTTACTTTTCTAAAATGATTCCTGAAGCTCTTTCAAATTTTTATTTCCGCCTAGATGAATTCGAAAAGAAACTCGAGATTCAGGCTGGCGGTTTTGGGAAAGTTTCCTACAATAAGTTGAACAAGTAGGTTTAAAATCAAGCTTCTAAAGTTGCAGAAAATATTGCCAAAATTCACTTGTCAGGATTAGAATTTAGCCAAGATGTGGCCATAAAAATGATGAAGGATCCGGAGGAGATTCTCAAAGAAGCAAATAAGCATAAACATGTCAAAGATTGCAAGTTTATTGTTGAGGTAAGATTTGAAAAAACTCTAAATGTAGTCAAAGTCTCCAGATACTCGGAATCATTTTTGATGAGACTGATTCGCCGAAAGGTTTGGCACTTGAGTTGTGCTATTTGGGAACGCTTTATCAAGGTGATTTTGTAATTTCTTTGTATCATTGAATTTGAAGTTTTTCTTCTTTTGCACAAGGCTCTGGATAAATCAAGAATGTTTCAGTTAGACTTATCGTTAAACCCATATCTTGAATTTTTGCTTACATTGTGACTTTGGGCTTTCTGTAGAACCGTCAGACTTTGTCTTTTTACTGTGAATGAGTCAGAATATAACGCTAGAATTTTTACTACTGAAAACACTGAAAAACTAAAACTACCATCACTGAAAAACTTCCATTAAAACGAATTGTAAATAAAATCTCTATAGTGATTATGGGCTGGGAAGTGCACACACTTTACAACATCGCTCATATCGTCGTTTGGATGGAACAATTGGCCTCGGTGTTGCTCTACTTGAAGAGAAAGAGCTCGTTCATCGGGACCTCAAGCCTCTCAAGTGAGATCAGGGAAAATGATGGAGTTGACAACATTTCAGTATTCTGATGTTCGACAAATACCGCGAGATTCGCGTCTGTGATTTCGGTATCTCAGCCTGGGAAAAAACTGTGGTAAAACTGGCCGGAACAGTCAGCTTCATTGCGCCAAATTCGGTGAGCAAATTTTGTGAAAAATCAAATGAAATAATGAATGAATGATTGAGCAATGAAAAAACTGAAGGTTTACCTTAATTGCACAACATTGCTACACTTTTGAGAAACCAAAAATTCATCAATTTAGTCGATTCACTTCGCCGATCATCGAGATGACATGTACAGTGTGGGAATGATTCTGTGGCAACTCATCTTCAGAAAGTTTGCAGAGATTTCAAGTTATCTACAGAGTGGCCCATTATTTTAGGTGCAAATCACTAGACTAGACAGAAGAATCCATCGGATTGAGATCCGGCGAGCTGAGTGGCCATTCAGAAAAAGAGATGAAATCGGGAAACTTCACTTTGCACAAAGCTTGGACTTTCTTGGCTTTGTGCTCTGAAGCCCCGTTTTGTTGGAATGTCTAAATTTAATTTTTGAGTTCCTTTTCTGCTCAGTGCAAACTTTGGGGAGCGAGATAGTTAATAATAATAGACACGTATCCCATTAGGTAGGGCCTTATGCCTTACTATATTATACGGAATCATCCCCACAATTATAGGTCACCCTAAAACTTTTTCATTATAGACATCCATATCTTGACTACAATACTGAAAATCCGGCAATTGATAACGATGATGTGTTGGAAAGAGTGGGAATGGGGAAAGATTGCCGCTTGATGAGACACATTCATCCATTCAGGAAGTGATCTCGAGTGAGATTCTCTAAGATTTGGATTGATTTGATTGATAGTATTCAAAGTTTAAGGAAAGTACAGTTTTAAGAAAGATATAGAATAAATAGATCGATAAACCGATAGGTTTCTTTTTCAGTTGTTGGGCTCATGAGAAGGATGAGCGTTTGAGTCCTGAAGAACTATACGAAAGATGGTTGAGTGGCGAAGAAGGTGAGAATGCTATTAACAATTCAAATTGGGCATTCCAGATCGGACTAATTTTAAGACTTCAATGCTATAAAATCCCAGCTTATTATGGTAATACATAAAGTAGCTCCTTGAGATCACTACAAGACCGGTTTCAGATTCAAACATCGATGGAAAGAGTTCTCAGGAAGTTCTTGCAAATCTCATTCACAATCCAAGAAACAGTTCGTTTTCAAAAAAAAGTTTCAGAGTTAAAAAGTAGATTCAGATCTTGATTTGCTTCTCGACAAATCGATGATCGTTGTTTATACAACAAAGCGACAAAAGAGGCATAAGTTGTGGCAAAGAGATGAAAAGGGAAGCAAAAGGGAAGCAAGGAAAGGAAGAGGGAAGCAAGGAAGGAAAGGGAAGCAAAAGAAAGGGGAAAGAGAAGCAAAGGAAGGATCAAGAATGTGAGTTGGATGAAAGTTAAAGCAAAAAACTTATCAGAATGCCCTGCAAGAATCAAAATTGTAGCCATCTTTTTGAGCAAAAATCCTCTTTGGACAACTATTATGGGATGTTGGTGACACGTTGATCGGATGGATTAAAACAATTCTTTCTCTTATATTTCTCATTTTACAAACCGCATACCCACCACATTCGAGCATTTTTCCCGCAAATTCTTCGAGGAATTATCTTGATTTTGATTTTTTTGTCAATTCTTTCAGCTTTTGTATATTTCGCTTTGAATTATTTACCTGAAAGCGGGTGGTTCAGCCAGAAAAAGTACATCAATCGACTATGGAGGATCTACAAAAAATTTGAAAAGAGACGAACGTTTTTCGATGCTTTTCTTATGATGGAAATGATTATTGCAAAGAAATCCGTTAAATTGAATTATCAAAGTTGTCAAATTAAACGTGATGGGATTGAAACTGAATCTAGAATGGAAAACAAGAAAAAATCTTCTTTGAATTGCAATACACTTTTATGTTTTATTGGCATTTGGATTCCTTTAAAGTCGAACCTCTTTACAGCTCTTTACTCACAGGGATCGGTTATCGTTTACGTTATATCGAGTTTTTGTAATATAGAATCAAATGCGTAGGGTTCATTGCAGCATGCAAATTGCGTTATATAGAAACATTAGAACATGTTATTGCAAAAAAATGAACAAAGACCAAAAAAAATATCAGATGAAACCAAAGAATTAGATCAAACGGGATTGTTTGACCGAAAAATGGCCCAGTCAAAGAAAGAATTTAAAGTTTGTAAAGCCCAAAGACACAAGAGACCCAAATAACTGTTTCTGAATGGGGACTGATTTCACAAATATCTTTAGCTTTTTAAAAGAATAAATGTATATATTAGATTGTCAATTTGAAAGTTAGTACACTTTTTTCGCATTTTCCTTAAAACGTATTTAATACGCCTATTAGCGTTAGACTTCTCTAAATAAAAGTCTACATATATTATCTAATTTAAAACATGCTTAAGCAAATTTGGAGTAAATTTTTGAAACCAATTTGAGCAGAAATTCAAGCTTTCTGAAAATTTTTCAAATGGACCTATAACAAAGCGATTGATTAGATCTGGCCAGAATTCCCAATTTGCCTAACTTTTCATGCTCTATCTTTTTTCATCAACATTAAAATAGGTTTTATGTGGAAGAAAGTGCCCAAGTCTCTTCATCCAGTGTTCATCATTTTTTGGTTCCTCAACTTAAGCCCCCGAAAACTCTTTCAATTCTTTCAATCTCTGTTTATTTCACTTTGAATTATTCACCTGAAAGTAATTGGTTCAACCAGAAAAAAATACATCCAATCGATTCTGGAGAATCTACAAAAATTTGAAAAAGAGACGAACATTTTACGATGCTTTTCTTATGATATTTCATCGTTTCGATTATTGCAAAAAAATCTATTAAATTGAATTATCAAAGTTGTCAAAAATTAAACGTGATATTGATTGAAGCCAGATCTAGAATGGAAAACATTGTCTGCAAATAACCAAAATAATATTGTGTGTTTACTTTAAAACAATTTTTCCAAAAAACTAAACAAAATTTATTTCCAATGAACTTCTAACTCTAGTCAAGCTCATCGATTACTTTGGTGTTTTATTCGATGAAGTTCTCGACACACGATCAGCTCTTATAACCAAATAAGTTGTTAAACCACTAAACTCAATTTTTTTGAACAAAATCAATCAACTCACCCAATCCAAAGATGCCCGCCATTCATTTTTTTTAGAAAGCTCCAAATCCGACGGATAAAGTATTTCATAATTGGACAAGTTGCAGTGAAGGAAAGCTCAAAGATTGACGCCACATTGTGTAATAATAGACTGGGAAGAGATTACAGCCAAGCATCTACAGAAATTCTTTAAAAATTCTTTTGCCTAACCTGGCACATGCGTGTTTTCTCAGCTTGTAGTGAGGGAAAAGCGTGTTTTCTTTTCTAAACACTCTTTTGCCTTTTGGTATTTCAAAGTGATACCTTTAACTTCCAGTATATTATCAAGTCGATCGATAACCTTGGGTGGAGTGGTTAACGGGAAGGAATCAGCTGAAAAGTAGTGATCTTTTTTCAATGATCAATGAGCTATTCAATGAATTGTTGACTATTGCTGGCATTCTTCGACAAGCTCACTTCAGAAATGAGTATGTTGACGGAACCCTCAGAGTATAGATTAAAAAACCCACGTGTGGTTTTTGTTGGCTGTTCATGAATACATACAAAATTTTTAACGAGAGGTTGGATAATTTGGAAAAGATCAAATTTTAAGGGAAAACTTTTGTAGAAAACGATTATTCAGGTAATCCAAAAGTCATAAAAGTCTTTTTCACTTTCGATTTCATTCTTCGTGTTTCAAAAATTCAAAAATACGATTTATTCATATAAGCTCATATTTTTGACATCTATTTAATAAAGTAAAGAATTTGCAAAGAAAAAAATGTGAATGGCAGAGGTTTGGAAACCAGAATTGAAGCCTCGACCTTCTGCTTACCCGGGCAGATCCTCTATCCACCTAAGCTACCGGTACCTCCTCTATCACAGAGGAAATAAGAAGAAAGATAAGGAAGAGAAAAGAAAGGGAGGAAGAAGTCAAAAAACTGCTGGAATATTCCCGGTGGCATGTGGTCGGTAAAAGAGACAAAGCTGTGGGAATTCTGGCCATTCCTGACTGATTTGAGATCAAATGTTTCTTTAGATTTTGATCCAAGATCTCTAAATTCTTTTAAACACTCCGCTGGATCAACAGTGAAAAAGGTTGAAATGATAATCCAGAAACAGGAAATTCACGTTCAAATTGTTGATAATTCCCTGGATGATCAAGGAGAACCACAAAATTTTTAGGTTTTCCGAAACGGGTTCGTTTTCTGAGGATACTGTAAGAAAATAGAAGTAATCAAGTTCATTTTCAGATGATTCTGACAATGTCAGATTTAACTTCATAGAACGTCTTTGAGGTAAAGCCGGGAAACCTTTTAATCGATCATCTCCAAGCAATTGACAGAAATAGTTGAACAGTTCAATGTATTCTTTCAATGATTCGTCAGTACACTGATAATGATGTAACCCAAAATTCTTTATTTGATTTTAGAAATTTCTCTAGATGATCAACTTGAATGAATGCTTCTAACCACCTAACTGAGAATTCAGCTCCAATATGAATCTGACACTCCCGGTTCACATTTGCATTTCGGTGGCCTGGGTGGGTTTCGGAGCTGGAAAATGTAGCCAGGTACAAAATCTTGCCCAATCGTTTTCAAAGTTTATGAATTTTCTATCGAAACCAAACTTCTTATTCAGTTCAAAAATCGTTTCTTTAATACTCTTTTTCACTTTGAGTAACCCTTCAATGACCATAAAATAGTCGATCGGTTCCCAATCGATTGGAATCATCTCTTCATATCCTACTACAACCGTAGAGCTCTTTTTGAGTCTCACAGAATTTCTCGTCAACTCCTTTTTTAATCCAAGTTCCTTGAAATCCCCTAGCCTCTGTCAAATCTTTGCTTATGAAACAATGCGTATCTTTTGGTACAGGTCTAATGCAATCACTCAGCCCAGGCAAAGAAAGCCATTGCTTTCTGGTTTGTGGCGAAAAAATAACTCCTGAAAATAAATTCTCCTTGTGAAAATGTTCTCTGGCAAATTTCGATCCAATTGCTGAATGTGAATGCAAATTTGTCGATAGTAGTCATCGTAGCTGAATCGTCTCTTCCATTCACCCCGAAAAACGACCAAACGGCCGAATATTTCCGCGTACCACATCAATTGAGTTGTTAAATGATTCTCAAAGATTTTCTCAAGATGTAACTCCGTTGAATCATACTTTGGTGTCAATTTATGACTATCGAAAGTGACAATATGAAAAAACACTCGTTCTTGCATTTTTCTGTTCACCATCTCT